TGTGGCTCCTGGACGGGACGAGGCAGGTTTGAGTACCCTACCACCAGCGGTGGTGGCTACCATCACTTCCGCTAGAGCGTCGTCCACAAGACACGTCTATGCGTTGAAGTGGAACCTCTTCGTCAACTGGTGCTCTTCTCTCCGAGAAGACCCCCGGAGATGTTCGATCAGCGTCGTGCTTTCCTTCCTTCAAGATGGGTTGGAGCGAAGGCTGTCTCCCTCCACCCTCAAGGTCTATGTCGCCGCTATTGCCGCACAGCATGATCTTATAGAAGGTAAGTCTGTGGGGAAACACGACCTGATCATCAGGTTCCTGAGAGGAGCGAGGAGACTGTATCCTCCTCGTCCTCCTCTCGTACCCTCTTGGGACCTTGCAGTGGTCTTAACTGCCCTGCGCAGTGCTCCCTTTGAGCCTTTGCAATCGGTCGAGCTTAAATTCCTGTCAATGAAGACAGCGCTTCTGATTGCATTGGCCTCCATCAAGAGGGTAGGGGACCTGCACGCATTCTCTGTTGACGAAGCGTGCCTGGAATTCGGGCCGACTTACTCTCACGTGATCCTGAGACCCCGGCCTGGATATGTGCCCAAGGTTCCTACCACTCCCTTCCGGGACCAGGTGGTGAACCTGCAAGCGCTGCCCCCGGATGAGGCAGACCCAGCCTTGGCACTGCTCTGTCCAGTACGTGCTCTTCGCATCTATGTAGACAGAACGCAGTGTTTCAGGACCTCAGACCAGCTCTTTGTCTGTTATGGTGGGAAGCTGACGGGAAAGGCTCTCTCCTAGCAAAGGTTGTCTCACTGGATAGTGGGCGCCATTGCTTTGGCATACCAGCAGCAAGGTCGACCGTGCCCCCTTGGTGTGACCGCCCACTCCACCCGGAGTGTGGCGTCCTCTTGGGCTTTAGCGCATGGTGCCTCGCTAACAGACATCTGCAGAGCTGCAGGCTGGGCAACACCTAACACATTCGCCAGATTCTACAATCTCCGAGTGGAGCCAGTCTCCTCCCATGTACTGTCTTTTTCAAGCTAACATGGGAGCCGTTCAGGTGTCTTCGCTTGCTCGCCATTCCACTCCACGGACTGGATACGTGCGATATTTCCTCAGGTGAGCCTTCCTCTCTGAAGCCCTGAGTTCCTCCAGCACTCCTGACGTCGGCGCCAGTGTCTCTTGCCTGCGCGTCGGCTAGGTGCCTTCCGTGTGCATGGTACCTCCTCTGAGCTACCCCCACATGTGTATTTCCACTGTAAGCCTCTCTAAGCATGTGTCTTTCCCTTGGCAAGCCACCTTGCCACCCCTGGGGTTGAAATATTCCACCTGCGGCTGGACACCCCAGTGTTCTCCATATGCATCCCTCTGGGTCATATGTGTATTCTCTAAGTCCAATCAGTTTACTGTTGGTCATTTGTTGTGTAGCGTCGCCCCTCGCCGCATCCAATGTAGACAGCATTGCTTTCGTTTGAGGGCGCTTAACACACTCAAGCACTAGAAACGGGACTGGCAGCTCGCGCCAGATCTAGACACGGTTAGTTACCTCATTGACGGATGGCCGAATTTTTATGACACATTTAAATTAGCATTATAGCCTGCGATAGATACAGTGCCAAAGAGAAGAGGCTACAAGGGGATAAAGACAGAGGTAAAGCAATGTAATGAATGAACAGTTTATCTAATTGCATAGTAGTAAGATACTATAATTTAATGGCAGTTATTTTTACCTTATAACTTTATGCTAACAGTAGTTCTGAGTTCTTCAGAGCCCCCAGACAATGCGATTTGTAACAATCATGTCAGTCTTTTTTAGACGCATTTACTATCACTTTTATTAATTAATGTTTTACTATACAGTTGTGCAGTTTTAAGGGGGATATATGGCATTTTTTCAAATTTATTTGCCAAAATTTTTAACGATATTTATAGGCTATAGGTTTATTATGTTTTATGTAAAATTCACATTAAAGAAGACATTTTGCAGTTTCATTTATATTGACAACATGAACCGTGCCATAATTTAGTGGAAGATTGCTGCCATCTACTCCCAAACAAACACTTTTGCTAGTGCTCAATGAATAGTTTGTGCATGAATGACATTTGGACGATGACATCACTGTTTTATCCAGAGCAAGCTATATATAAATTAGATAAATTAATATTTTTTTACAACAAAATAAACCATCACTGAACATTCTTAAGCTTTATTATGACACTATTTTCTTCTAGATCTGCTGTAAAGGAGAAGCAAACTTTGTTGCATTATTTTCCTTTTATCACTGTAAAGCTGCCTTGAAATAATCTGTATTGTAGGCTAAAAAGCGCCATATAAAAATAAAAGAGACTTGACTTGAATGCTAGATGTAATGCTCTTATATATATATACACTACCGTTCAGAAGTTTGGGGTCAGTGAGAATTTTATTTTATTTTTTTGGAGGAAAGAAATCAATACTTAATTTGATCGAAAGTGACAGTAAAGACATTTATAATGTTACAAAAGATTCTATTTCAAACAAATGCTGTTCTTTTGAACTTCCTATTCATCAAAGAATCCTAAAAAAATAAAAAATAAAACTACAACTGACAGACCAACAACTGTTTCAACATTGATAATAATAATAAATGTTTCTTGAGCATCAAATCCTCATATTATACTGATTTGTGAAGGATCATTTGACACTGAAGACACTGACACTGGTGATGCTGAAAATTCAGCTTTGATCACAGGAATAAATTACACTTTACTATATATTCACACAGAAAACAGCTGATTTACACTGAAATAATATTTAATACTATAACTGTTTTTTGTTGTATTTTTAATCAAATAAGCGCAGCCATGGTTAGCAGAAGAGAATTCTTTTAAAAGTATTTAAAATCGTACCGACCCCAAACTTTTGAACGGTAGTGTATATATATATATATATATATATGACTAAATAATCACCAACACAATGATGGGGTGAAATGGGCTGTAATGCATGGGGCACCAGGTAAAATCTTGCCTAGGGCGGCAAATTGGTCAGGCCCGGCCCTGGCTATGGGATATGCTCCCCACTGTACCTTGGTATTCTTGTGCTAAATAGGAGTCCTTCGTCCGTGCTAGTCTCACGACAGGGATCTCAGATTTACGCAGGGCACTGGAAGACAGCCGAGAAGGTGGCGTGATTAGACTGGATCCCCATTCGTCATCATCCGACGGAACTCGGAGTGACAACGAAAGGGAACGTCTCGGTTACGGATGTAACCCTCGTTCCCTGAGTAGGGAACGGAGACGTTCCGTCTTCCTGCCACTTTCCGCTGTACCGCGGGGATCGCCTGAGCTCAGTCTTGGCTCTTCAGCGAAGAACATGCCTATTTGCTGCCAGCGTTCTCCTTAAATACCCATGAGGTGAGGTGGAGTTACGCAATGCAAATTCCGCAGACCCATGGCATTTCTTTGCCATTGGCTCGTTTTGTAGTACTCGAAGTCGATAGGCTTCCTAAGCGAAACCCCCATTCGTCGTCATCCGACGGAACGTCTCCGTTCCCTACTCAGGGAACGAGGGTTACATCCGTAACCGAAACGTTTTTCATGGTTTAGACCAAATAGAAGCAGAAAATCTAGGATTGATTACTGGTTGGGTACTGACAATATAATGAGTCATGTTACAAAGACAACTATGTCTAATGCACCTTTATCAGATCACTGTTTCATAGAACTAGTCTTAGGACCTACAGATAAATCAACATATAAGAACGGCTTTTGGAAATTTAATGCCAAATTATTACAAAATGAAGAATATTGCTGTAAAATCCTAAATGATGAAGCAATTATTGGGCATTGTAACAAATAGGAATTCATCAAATTCAGAATTAGAGAATTCAGTATTCAGTTTAGTAAAGTATTAGTTAAAAAAATAAAGAGTTGGAAAACAAATTATTACAAGAAATACATACATGCTGTAGCAACACCAATTTAACTTCTGAAGAAAAAAGTAGTCTAGTCGAATTACTGAACAAGTTAGATCAACATTATCTTGACAAAGCACAGGGAGCTTTCGTGAGATCGCGAGCAAGGTGGATTGAATCAGGTGAAAAGAACTCCTCTTATTTTTTTTATCTAGAAAAAAGTCATCAACAAAAAAATTGCATCTCTAGTCTTTTAGTAAATGGTGAGGTAAAGAAAGATTCTAAAATCATAGAAAATGAAGTCTACATGTTTTACTCTAAATTATTTTCTTCTCAGTTCTCGAAAGTAGACTGTAATAATCTTTTTCAAAATCTTTGTCCACTAATCCCCCAGATTGATTTATCTTTTAAAAAGATCTGTGTCTCTGAACTTAGAATTGATGAACTGGATGCAGTTCTTAAGAAAATGGCTTTAAACAAATCCCCGGGATCAGATGGCCTCACAGTTAATTTCAATAAATATTTTTGGGAAGATTTGAGAATCATATTATTTGAAGCGCTAAAAGAATGTATAGTTAGGAAAGAATTGATGACTAGTATGAAACAGGGTGTAATTACTTTGATTCCAAAGCCGGGGAAAGACAAACGGCAATTAGACAATTTAAGACCGATTACGCTATTAAATACAGATTATAAAATATTTTCAGGATCCATTGCAACTAGACTTAAAAAAGGGATAGCAGACATAATAAGTGAGACACAGTCAGGCTTTATAAAAGGAAGAGTCATTCATAACAATATTAGACTTGTAATGGATTTATTAGACTATAGCGATTTAATTGATGATGATGGTTTTATACTCTTTCTTGATTTTTATAAGGCCTTTGACTCTGTTGAACACGAATTTATTTTAAAAACACTTCATTATTTTGGTTTTGGCGACAAATTCAAAGATATTATACAAAAAAAAGAAAAAAAAAGTTAAGGTTTTTTTTACAATGCAGTGTTCTCAGACTTTTCACTTGAATAATTGGCATATATTAAACTAATGGATTAAATTAACATTAAAATACAGATTTAAAAAAACGTATGCAAAGATATGCTTCTTTTACTTTTACCTGTAGATGTCTTCACCAGTAGATACGTTGATCTCCAATCCCTTGGAAAATGAGTAATGAGTTTCTTCTTGTTTATATTTTAAATAGAAGTCAAAGCCCACAGAACCAGATTGTAACAAATATGTAAACATTTACATGTTGAAGCCTTGCCAACAGAATAAAAAAGGAGGGGGGGGGGGACACAGAAACTGAAGAAAATTCTCGGCCAGCAGCATGTGTCCAAACTTCAATCTTAACAGTTCTATTTCATCAGAAACGATCTTAAAACAGGGCTTTAAGTGTAAAATACCGAACTCGTCCTTTGACAGATTGCATCATTTTATAGTTAAAGGGCCCTGAGATTAAAAATTGCAATTTACTATACAATAACTAAGCTACACTGTAAAAAAAATTTTTTTTTATTTTTTTAGTTTAGTGTTAAATTTAAATTAGTTATCTTAAATTTTAGAAGTAGGAATATTCAAAAAAGCCCAAGCAAAAAAAGAAAAAAAGTTTATTATTTTTTTTTTTTTTTACAATGCAGTGTTCTCAGACTTTTGAATCTATTCACTTGAATACTTGGCATAGATTAAACTAATGGATTAAATTAACATCAAAATACAGATGGAAAAAAAGTACCTATAGATGTCTTCACCAGTAGATACCGTTGATCTTCAATCCCTTTCCCTTGGAAAATGAGTTGTTTGTGTTTATAGAAGTCAAAGCCCACAGAACCGGATTGGAAATGAGCACACCCCATTGAATGAAACTGAAAGTGACATGTTAAGGTTAAGTATGGCCATACTCATGGATACATATTCAGTTACTCACTGAAAGTCAATATGGATTCAGATTAAATAGATCTACATCGATGGCAATAATATAATCAATTGAGGAAATCACAAGTGCCATATCATAAAAATTATGTAATGGGGGTATTTGTTGATCTTAAAAAAGCTTTTGATACAATCGACCATGACATACTTATAAATAAACTGGAAAGGTATGGTATCAGGGGGATAGTATTAGACTGGGTTAGGAGTTATCTAAGTAAGAGACAGCAGTTTGTGAAGTTAGGAAGCTCCAAGTCAGAATGTTTGGACATTGTTTGTGGTGTCCCCCAGGGGACAGTGTTGGAACCAAAACTATTTATTTTGTATATTAATGACATGTGTTCAGTATCTAAGTTGTTGAAGATGGTATTTGCAGATGATACAAATATATTCTGTTCAGGTGAAAACTTACAGCAACTAGTGAGGGATGCCACTAAAGAAATTAACAAATTAAAAATATGGTTTGATAGAAATAAATTATCATTAAATTTAAACAAAACTAAAATAATGTTATTTGGGAATTGTAATATGAATATACAAATAGATGGGGTTATAACTGATAGAGTTCATGAAAATAGGTTTCTTGGGGTAATTATAGATGACAGAATCAGTTGGAAATCACATTAATTATGTACAATCAAAACTATCAAGATCAATTGCAGTATTAAACAAAGCAAAGCAGGTTCTGGATCAAACATCCCACCACTTGTTGTACTGTTCACTAGTTTTACCATATTTCATTTACTGTGCTGAGATTTGGGGACACAACTACAAAAACTCATTACATTCATTATCTGTGCTCCAAAAAAGAGCAATAAGATTAATACACAACGCTGGGTATAGGGATCACACTCACTCATTATTCCTTCAGTCAAAATTATTAAAATTCACAGATCTTGTGAATGATCAATCAGCCCAAATAATGTTTAAAGCCAAAAATAATTTATTGCCGAGAAATATTCAAATATTATTTAGGAAGAGAGAGGGAGGTTATAAGTTAAGGGGGACACACAACTTCAAAACAAACAGGATACGGACAACTCAGAATTTTTTTTTGCATTTCAAGCTCTGGAGTAAAGCTATGGAACAATGTCTCAACGAGGAACTAAAGCAATTTCCAAACATAAATCAATTTAAAATCAGGTATAAAGATATGGTTTTCAAGGGATACAGGGATCAAGTAAGGGGTGAATAATCACAGAGTGTTTTTGGGGTTAGTAATTATCTTCAGTTTCATTGTGCTGTTATAATTACTTCATTTTTTCTGTACTTTGACATTTTATAATCTATTCTTTCCTATTATTTAAAAAAAAAAAAAAATCCTTGTTTAAATAATTGGTGTACATTTTGATTTGCTTTGGGGTAAAACAAAGTAGATGTGAAAATATTTGGAACCCGTGTCGATTGTAAGCTTTTTATTTGTGGATGGGGGGTGGGATTAAATAAAAAATTTCTTCTTCTCACTCCTTTTCAAATATGTAATGGACATTGACAAGAGTTATAAAAGTCCTTGGCTGAAACTATTGTTAATTAATTTTTTTGGTTTGTTATTCTTATCATTTTGATTTGTCTACTTGATTTTCATTTTCTTGTCGGATGTTCTTTTTTTTTTAACATAAATTCAAAATATACTTAAAAAAAAAAAAAATACTCGGAATTTGTCCTCTGCATTTGACCCATCCAAGTTAGTGCACATACATTAGGAATAGTGAGTAGTGAACACACACACACACACACACACATTACGAACCAAATACAGTTTTGGACCCAAAAGTAGAACACACACTAAAGATGATAGTATACACATAAAAGTCATTTAATGCCAGAAATTAGATAGCACCGTCCATCTCTCATACTGTACAAATAGAAGGATAGATGGTTTTAACAATGACAATTATCAAATGACACTAAATTATCATAATATTTTGCTCAGGTTAGGTGGTTGCTGGGGGTTTCGCTTCTCATCTTTATCAGCCTGCAACATGATATCATTTTTTAAAGATCGCACGGTAGACCTTGATCTATGGGGACCTTTTGAGCCATACTGCCTCAGGCACAAATAGCATAGCCCACTATAGCGTGGAGCCATTTGCAGCCGTCAAAAAAAGAAAACTTAAGTTTAGTGGCACGCATGCACTGGTATGTACTCAGTCTGGTTGATGGGTTTGTGAGGAGAGTGCTGTACTTTGAAAGTTAATCAATACATTACATTTAAATAACCAAAACTACTTATTATTTTGTTGTTGTTGTGTCTTTTTGTTTTTGTAAGATCGTTGCACTTTTGGTGTTTTTTAGGTAATTTGGTGTTGGTAGTTGGGTGTTTGGTGACGGGTTTGTATGTACAGCAATGGCAACAGCCAAAAAAAGGAAGACTTCCCCTAACTGGGAATATTTTGAGCTTATAGCTTCCAATGTATGAATGCATTTCTAAAAAAAGAAATAAAGAAATAAATATTTATTTATTTATTTAGTATTATTTTATTTTTTATCATTCTATTGTATAATTGTTGACCGTTGATGTTGTCATGTGGATGGAATGGACAACCCAGGCACAGACAGCAGATGATACAAACAGGGGTTTATTGATGACAAAACAGAAAACAAAACCCACGATGGGGCAAAACAAGACAGGAGCAGAGTACAACTAAACTACCCACATAGCAAACAGACTTGGCCCAAATGTGGCCTCAAAATGGCACTGCTGGCGTGTTGCCGGCACTGGCATGCATCATGTCAGCCAACTCTGGGCCATGCGTGGCAATGATGGCACTGAATGCATGACGGCAGACTACATTTGGGCCGATTGTGGATGGGAGGTGTGTGGCCCAGATCAGTTTAGCGATTATGGCCCAGATCAGTGTAGCGATTATGGGCCTTTGTGTACTGGACAGTTATAAGTATTTAGGGCTGCTATAGGCCTATTAGTTTTCAGCAATGTTCACAAAATTCAATAATCATTAAACAATTCCCAAATCCATTTGACCTGAACAAAATATACATTTTCCTAACATGATAATTGATTTTTTATATATATATATATATATATATAAATTTATAATTTAAAGAAAAAATAATTCACATACAAAATAGTCAACGTTTTCCATACTTTTTAGTTTAAGCACCACAAAATCATGTTAAAAACGTACTATATATATATATATATATATATATATATATATATATATATAGCAGTTTATTAAAAAAACGTTTGAAACAAAATATCATTTAAAAAATGTTTATTTTGGCGCGATCTCCACGGTAACAGCAGCTTTTCTGGTTGGTGAATGAGGTTCACGTGATGTATGCGTCGTTTGAAATTTCTCCCGCTGAAGGGTGAAGAAGTCTGTCACTGTCAGACAACTGCTGTTCAGGTAAGTAAAGTTCGTCGCTCTCTTTCTTTGTGCTTTTTTAAATACCAGAATTCAAACTCGGATGTCACTTTGTTCTTTATTGAAGTGAACTTTTGCTTATATGGTAGCGGATCCACTGCCCCTTGAGAATGCGAGTAAGTTACAGACTGACGCGACCGGTGCGATAGACCGGCCTGCGGGATGTAATGTAAGTTAATGCTGTTAAAATGATAGGAAAAATCACAGCGAAATCAGCAACAAACAACAGTAATTGACTTTTAAAGCTCAAAGTGATTCAATGGTTGTATAATCAGATTTAATTATATCTAAATCTAATCTGTGACTTTGATAATCAGGATATGTCTGCTATTTTATGTGTGTGTGTATGTCTGTTCTTGTTTTTTAAAGGAAGTTCAAACAAAACTGAAAATTTACTCATCATTTTCTCTTAAAGGGCATATTGCAGGTTAGAGGACCCAACGAGTCAATGTATAGAAAAATAATGTAGGAACTAGATTTTCTTTAAAATATTCTTATAAATACGCTACAGAAGCTTCTGGAGTCGTTTTTGTGAGAAATTTTTACTTCCGCGTCTGAAAATGGGTGTGGCGGGCGTGATGTAACGGGCGGGAGAGCGGTCGATTCAAACAACAGGAAAACAATGGATCGCAATGACATTTCGGACACTGAGGAAATACTTACTCGTATGACGGACTACAGCCATACAATTATGAGCCTGCTATGCTGCCAAGAGAGTAGGGACAGGCCAGGATTAATGTTAGACAGAACGGTCAGAGACACATTGAGTTGTGGTGTGAGGAGAACCAGTGGAGAACAGGACAGGTGTCTTGGTGAGAGACGTGCTTATAGATACACGTTCGCT